GGAGCAATCCGCACCTGCATGTGACTTGTGCTGTGCACCCTCTCGTTTGCAGATGAGTGCCAAGGAGCAGACACGCATAGGGTTTTCGCCAGGTATTTCGCTTGATAGGTACATGCGCACATCCCTTCATACATGTATACTAATGTATACCTGCACACATACGCGCACACACACACACACATCTCTTTTTACATTCGTTGCTGCTTGCATGTATAGTATGGTTTTCCTTCCTTTCATGCATGCATATACAGAGAGCTGCCCGGCACACCTAAAGCTGCTGATCATCCATTTCGTGGCCGTGTGGGGGAACACGTATGACAGGATGATCGATTCATAAATCATGTCTGGAGTCCGCCGTTGCTTGGATTCGAGCATAGAGGCCATTTTCAAGCGACCTTGTGCCTCTTATGGCCTTGAGGCCATAACCCCGCCATGTATGCTCTAAATGCTTCGGCGAGGACCAGCCTTCCAACTGACTGCAGCAGCACTCCTCGGATATATGCAAAAATATACATAGGTGTGTGTGTATATACACTTATACCGATGGTACACATGCGCATACACATACACATAAACATACACATACGTATACACCTACCTACACACATACATAGAGACGTACATGCACATACACAGACTCACTTACATCTGCCTCGGCGTGCTTGTCACATCCCTGTTTATGTTTGCGTTTGTTTTTCTACACGTCTTATTAGGTGTGTTTGTGTGTATATATATATATACACACACACACACACACACATATATATATATATATACATATATATATATATATATGCATACATACACGCATCCCAGTGGCAGTCGCAGCAGCTGCCTACCGAATCAGCATAACAAAATCCTAATCGAAAAGTCCAAAGCCCCCAAGCCCTATCACTGGGTCTGATTGGGCCAATTGGCTTAGAGCTAATGTCGCTGCAGCCGCTGCTATCCTCGCCGAGAGTGAGTGGCAAAAAACACCATAAACTGAAGAGTCGGAGTTTCGGCGGCGAAACCACAAACACGAGTGGCAGGTCAGGTAGTGCCCGCGCAACGCGTGAAACCCAAAGCAAACACGCCCTGCAGCCCTGCAATCTAGCGAGCGTAAACCCAAAGAGAGAACGTCCTAAGCCTCAAGCCCAAAACTACAAGAGCCTCGAAGAAAAAAGGTCCTAAACTTTCCTGAGCCATAAGAGGCCCTAAACCCTAAACCCCGAAGAAATTTTGGCTCAAGGGTTTCGGGCTCAAGGAGGCGGTTTACGGTTTAGGGTCCAGTACCCACGGCTTGGGACTGTGAAAAATGTATAGTGGCCTGAACTTATTCCTCCGGGATCCCTGTTCCTGTTGTCGGTCCATTATGAGACACCCCAAACCTGTATTAAAACTATGAAGGCCCCTATATTACATGATCCAGTAAGCTGTAGTCTTAGGTCTAGATCACCCTACGAAGCATCATGTCGATTTCCGTGGATGTGCATTTGCTGAGTGGCAAGCGTGCCGCTGTGGAAGTGGATGCAGATGCATCCGTTGAGTCATTGAAGCACCGCGCCCAAAGTGCTCTGAAGGTCCCGAGCAGGGGGCGGCTGCTGAATTCTTCTGGAGAGGTGCTTGACGGAGCACAAAGTGTCACAGAAGCGAAGTTGAGCAGTGGAGACGTGCTCACTCTACATGTGAACCAAGTCCAGCTTAGCGCCGGCAAAGGTGACGTCTCTGCGTTCGCCGCTCTCTTGGGTGATGGATCTGTGGTCTCCTGGGGTGATGAGGACACTGGTGGCGACTCCAGTGCGGTACAGGAGCAGCTGACGAGTGTGCAGCAGATCCAAGCTTCAAGACGTGCATTTGCTGCAATCCTGGGTGATGGATCTGTGGTCACCTGGGGTGTTGAGGACTTTGGTGGCGACTCCAGTGCGGTACAGGAGCAGCTGGCGAATGTGCAGCAGATCCAAGCTTCCGATGGTGCATTTGCTGCAATCCTGGGTGATGGATCTGCGGTCACCTGGGGCAATGCCGAATGCGGTGGCGACAGCAGTGCGGTACAGGAGCAGCTGAGATGTGCAGCAGATCCAAGCTTCTACTCGTAACACGATAAAATGCCCCATAGCCCAGGTCTAAGTATTGACACCCTCCCCACCCACCCCACAGAGACCCGAACACTGTAAACTCTTCCCCGTCAGCGCCACCCCAGGGACAGCAATCAGAGACACAGAACAGTAAAAGACCATAGCCTCAAGCCACGTTTCTGGTAGGCAAGGCACATCGGGGACCCAAACCCTAAACCCTCAAGCCCCAAAATTGTTTTGGAAGCGGTGATACGTGCCGTTTCCGTTGCCAAAGTGCATTCGTCGCGTACCAGTAACCTCGCCTAGGCAAGTCCGAGAGTGAGTGCTGAAACCCCGAAGAAATCTCGCAGCCAACAAAAAACACCAGGCCTGGAGCGAAGCCGCTTCGATGCGCTCAGTGCTTGGCAAGGCCGCAGCTTCGTTTGGGATCCTTTCAATGGTAGCTGGGGTGGTGTCGGGGGTGGGGGGGGTGGGGTGGGTGGGGGGGTGCGGGGGTGGGGATGCGGGTGGTAGGTCCTTATCATAGTTTCTTTATATAAGTCCTTAACACGGTATGTTATCTGGGGTTGCGGTGATCCCTAAACCCCTCATGGAGCCTTGCCTGCCTTGTGCGAGAGTGACAGTCCAAACCCTACACACCCAAACCCTACCTCGCCTGCAAAGTCCGAGCGTGAGAGCCGAAACCCTAAGCTCGTCCTTGCTATGTAGGAAGGAAAAAACCGTAAGGGATTTGCGGGCACTTTCAGCTGTAACAAAAAAAGGGTTTGGGATTTAGGTTCTTTAGGCTCGGCCCTGCAAAGTAGAGCCAAGCGTCATCCCGTGGTGAACTGAAGCATGTTGATTCATTCTAGTTGAGCACATACTCGGGTTTCATCCGAAATAGGAGATGCCGAGGAGCAGGCAGCATTCCGTGGGCACGCTTTTCACTACCACTACCGCTGCGTCAGCTCTCTGCCTCTTCATCGGGTGCATGTTTTTGACAGGAGAACCCTTTGCAACCACCTGTTCGAAGTGGCCGTGTGACGTCTCATAGAGAGCTAACATGTTGAAGGTGACTGGAGCTCCTGCGGCAGACCTTTACGTCAGGTGCGGGTTTTGGGTCGGCTAGGGAGTGCCCGCGCAGCTCTCACGTTCACTGCTAACTTCGGTTACAGGCCCGAAGTTTGCTTACATAGTTGGAACAGTGTTTAGGGGTATCATCTCATAATGCAGCTCACATTCTCTTGGACCCGCACATTGCAGGAATTCCATGTTGATTTCTTTGCACGCCACATTCACGGAAGTGTAGCAAACCAATTTGGGCAGAAGCCTGCGATCACTGCATTTAGTTCATTTGTATATATTCCATGTCTTATACTCTACGTTGTATATGACATATTATGTAAAACAGATTATGTTCCATATTTAATTTCATCATACGTTGAATTGTTTATTCCCCACATCATCGCGGGGTTTTGTTTTCCTGCGCCCCGCCCCGCGCGTCATGACTAGATCCATTCAGCAAGCATCACCTCGCGCCGTCTGCGTTGCTTGTCACAGGCTCGCGGCCGTTTGCGAGGAATTGGGAGAGATTGCGCTGTCGGAGGATTATCAGGACTGCGCCAAGCGCTGCTGGCACAGCTTTCGGGTCACCCTGCGCTTGTTGTGTCTAGCTTGGCGGTAAGAGTGGGCAGCTGTCTGACGGCATTGTAACCTCATCAAAGCAGCCAGATCTACGCAACACCTATGCGTCTCCTCAACACTCTTAACCCGTACTTCCTGTTGAGATATGCCGGAGACACCCCGATGAAGCTTGTCATCGGAACGCCCAGGACCAAGCTCTTCAGGCCAGGGCCAAGCAGACCCCGAAGAGCCAGCTGCGTGGCAGCACAGCAAAGCAGCGGCTGTTCAGGTCAGCGGCAGTTAGGTCCATGTCTAACCGGCGAGGCCTAGGGGCCTAGATATGATGAAATTTGTCTGTGGCTTTGAAGACCAAACCCGGGATTCCGGGACAGGGAGCTGAGGACCGCCGTGAAGAGACAAGCAAAGTCTCGGGATAAATGTTGCGGGTGGTTGTGTGCTCGCTCAACTCTTTCTTTGGCGTTAGTTGCCTTACACCGTGCGGCGTGCATGCTGGCTTTGGCACTTGGAGGCGCTGCCTGCAGGTTCGACACATACTGTAGCCGATGCATGTGGGAGTCTTGTTTCCAACTTAAACCTGGGGCCATTATGCCTTCGACAGCTCGTGCAGACTGATCGAAATGCCCAGGGGTGTTGCCTTGGCAGTTACAATCTGGATTTGAAGGGTGGGTTTTCGAAAGCAGGTAGGTTGTGGCTTCCTGCCCAGGAAGGTGAACAACTTGAACAACACCCAATCGTCTTGGACCTCGGAGGCTTGGCCAACTTCACCTTAGTGCGCGCGGCCTGTCTTCGGACGGCGCGCTCGGAATTTGGAAGAGGCGAGGAAGGCGTAAAACGCACCGACCGAGCCGCACCTTGCAAGTTTCAACCGCTCCCATTCCCGTTGTTCCCGTTCCCGGCTCGTAGGGCTTTGCTTCTTCATGGAGACAAGAGCCAGTGAAGCGTTTTGTCAAACGCCAAAGGCGTTTGCCAGACGCCTCTGCCAGAATCCAGCCCGCCCCGGATCACTGTGCACTTGAACTGAGGAGGAGCTCGTGCTTTAGTTAACGTCGACAATTGGGTGTCGATGCGTCTTGGCAGCCGTGGTGATGCCGGAGCTTCCACAAAGAGGAGTGGCATCTTGCTTAGAGAACTGTAGGCTCAACGAGATTCTGCTGTTCTGCTTGACTACCTGGCACTCAGGGCAGGCAAAAGCCTCCGTGAGGATCCCAAATCGGTTTGATGGTTTTCCTGTGAAAAATGAGGATGCCGGACCTGGTGAGCTTGACCTACAGAGCTATTTGGAGTTCTAGAGGGCTGTGTTGTAACCCGATGTGCCCCGAGGCCCTCCGGGAAGCTTGGCGGAGCACTGCTTCGCTAGATGCCATGCTGCGACAGCAGCTGACAAATGGAGAAGGCCAGTGCACGCAACTCGTGAAGCTTCACGGCCTCCAGGTGCTTCGAAGGACCCTTGCCCACTTCGGGGTAGTAGTTGCCAGCCGGCGCCTGTATGTCCACCATGTATCAGCACATTGCAGGAACTCATGTACAATGTAGGAGTTATCAACTACTGAGATGAAATCTAAGTGTTTCTGCCCGCCACAGAGAGCGGCTAAAACTAAATCACGCTGGTTTGGTTGGCACGGAAGCTTCTTCATTAGGCCGTCATGGCTTGACCTGCCGGGAGCCAGCATCGTGAGCATAGGAAAGGGCCGCGTCGCCTGGAATCTCTCGGTTGTCCCTGCTGATGAACGTTCTTCGCAGGTTGGGAATCCCTGAGCTTGATCATCAAGGCACGGAGTTCTGCCGCCTTCTTTCGCAATGTTAAGAAGCACTAGCTATGCCGAGCCTCAGCAGTGCTCACTATGCCAAAGCAGAGCCTTGCCATAGAACACGGCACCGCCCAAGGCGTGTCTATTGCGATGGCTGAGCATCCCAGATCCTGCCTGCACACTCTGCGACTCTTGTGCCCAGGTGCGCCCCGTCAGACTCAGAGTGGGATCTGCTTGCCTCGTCAGGCATGCACTGCGTTTGAACGGGTGCAGCCTGATTGGTGCCAGCAGGACCGCCTGCAGTTGTGGAGAGGTATCTGAGGCCATCGAAACCATCGTAGCAGCATCTGCTTGCTGGTGGAAACAAACATCGGACATGTGCGACATCATGGTAAACAAGAGCTGCTGAGTAGGGGTGAGAGGTTTCCGCTAGCTGGGCCTGATTCGCTGCTGCTTCAGATTCTGCGCGCGTCATTGTGCAGCAGCTGTGTAGGAAATGCTGTTGGACAGCGTTACCGATCCAATTGGGGAGTGAGTCAGGGGTTGCCAGGCGGCAAGATCGACGTTCCCAGGATCGACCACATGATTTTCCCGGAGCATCCACCGGGAAAAGGTATGCTGGCCTTATAAAGTCCGTATTGCCAGTGCAAGCAGCTGTCCAGAGCCCGGCGGGCCGAAATCCGACATTTGGGGTGCCAGATCACGGCTTGGCGCCGGGGGTTGGGTGAATAAACGCTTCTCTTCGCTTCTGCCCTGCGCCACTGTGCGGGGTACTCGGAAGATCTGAGACCTGAGTCCTTGACGCTGTGACGCTGTGGGCGACGTGACAGCAGCCCTGAAGCCCTGTTGCTGCTTAGCGTTGGCGGTTGGCCCCGGGCACGCAGCCCTGCCGACAGAAAGCCCCTCGAGTCCCCAGCGCAATTTGGAGTCCTTGCGGTTGGTACAACAGACTATAGTGACTATGCCATGTCTCTTTTCGGTTCATGACCGTCATGACCATGTCGCAGTGCCTCAACAGCGGAGGGATGAAAGGATAAGTTGCAATGTCCTCGCTACTGCCGACACGCACGAAGGAGCTGGGCGCTTCCTTGCCTTTGTTAGAGGCACTCCAGATGGGCCGGCAGAGGCCACGACGTGAGAGTTCAATCACGAGCCGGAAAAAGTTTATTGGGCCCGGGCTCAACTGCATGTTTTCTGCTTAGTTCCGATGGATGACACTCATTCGCCAAGACTTTTGCAGAGCTTCAGGTCGCGTTTTAGCCTTGCACACTTACTTCGTGCAGAGATCGGATCCATGCCATGCCTGCCTCAGTCGCTGCGCGTCTCCTCGCATGCTTCGTTCGAACCATTCGACCTCCGACAGTCTTGACAGAGATCGGCCTGTGCCTGCAGGCTGCCAGCAGACTTTGAGGTCTGCGGCCCAGGGCGGTACAGTGATGGACTGAAGAGCACGGTGACCGAAGCTCCCACACGTTTGAGAAGGGGGGACACGAATTCCGTCATGTGTGCTCCGGGACGAGGTGTCCGAGGATCCAGCTGCTCTGCTGTGCGCTGTGGGCGAGGATGCTGGAGCCGGGGGCCTCAGCTTTAGGAAGTGCCATGAACTCGAAGGAAGACCGGCTACGGCTACACTGCCTGTTGGGCCTCTAAGCAAGCTCCGGAGGCGCTGTTAGGCCTCTCACTTATTAGTCTTGCACTACAGCTCCAGGAGGAACACTGACACCCCAAGCCGAAACCTCGCGTGAAGCGCGTTGCTGCCCGGTTTCGCTGAGGGGACCTTGGCGGCAGTGTCTGAGGAAAAAGGAAGAAGCTTGCTGGGGTTCTTCGTGAGCAATCTGCAATCGTGTGGACGAAGTGTTTCGGCACCCCGGCACAAACAGTTCTGCTTGTGCCTGCACGAATGACGCGATTCAGCGATATGTTCAGCCCTCAAATGTCGGAAGCTGTAGAATTTCGAGTCGCAACGTGAGCCTCTAAGGTCGTTCATGCCATCGCTGGTTATTCTCCTTGAAGTTTGCCATCTGTCTCGCGCAACCAACTACTTGGCACCCTGACTTACTGTGCAAGCTGGACGCAGCCATTTACTGCCAAAGAGTGCAGCATGCAAAAGCCAAACAAGACCAAGCAAGGACGCCCACATAAACATAAGGTACATCTCGCCTCCCACACATCTAGTATCTCCGTGCACACAGAGGCCTCACCCTTACTCAGCTTCTACACATTCTGAGTTGTGCGCACATACGACGTGGTGGTTCAGCTGCACGGACAGGAGTTGGATCCAGAAGCCTTCGCCTGCAGGCATACATGTCCCTAGCCATGCACTGCCTCTGGCCATGAGCAGTGAGGAAAATGAGACCGCTGGGTCCTGAGTGATTAGAGCTATGGAATCTGTCTCCTAGCAGACTCTTGTGGTGGTGTGTGCCACCGAGGGTTCTGTGTGAGTTGTTTCAAGCTAATGCAAGGAACCCAAAAAAACCCTGTTCGATCTGCATGCTTTTGGACACCGGCCGAAACAGATCAGGATGAAGATGCCGCCCCCATGCGCAGAACAGGGGTTCTCTTGACTCTCTGCAGCCGAGGAAACGGAAACAACGACAAGCGCCACACAGACCACGACCGGCACTGTGGCGGTGGGCTCAGCAGTCTTGGCGTTGGAGGGCCCGAGTTGGAAGCCACAGAAGAGAAGTGTCGCTCGTGCTTTTCTTTGCAGTCTGCGGCTCCTGGGAGGTGGAGACTCCAGCGGAGTGCGCGGTCTACGCCCGCAATTGCCGCTTGCGCTCGCAGTGGTTCAGTGCCATGCAGAGAACCTGGATCTCATGATCTCTCGCCTGTTTCTATGGCAGAGCTCGTCGTCTCAAAGATGCGGTGTCCGACTGCTTGCATGTGCCTCGCCGCTCGACCAGGCAACAGCTGCTTCGGGAACGGTTGCCGATACTGCCAGGTCAGCCCGGAGGCGGCTGCCATGCTTTTAAGAGTGCTCCGGAGAGACGTGGCATCGGGCCCATCGGGCTTCCCAGGTTCTTGAGCCATGCTGCCTATTGCTTGGTGGCTTTTTGGGAATCATGAAGTTTGCCAGGTAGATGTGACCTGTGGCCACTAAACAGGGGCAGATGAGGAGTCGCACAGCCTGCGGAGGGCCGTCTGAAGGAACTACGAGGTTCTAGATGTCACCTCTCCCAGCAGCCTTCATACCTATTCTGCCATAGCTCATGTCGGGTGCCGAATCCTAACCCGGTTGGATGCCAGTCCTGGAACTTTGGTGGCAACAACAACCCGCCAGTCGCTGCTTGCCTGAACAGAGCCGAGCGAATGGAGGCACCAGGATATGCTGCGACTCTTCGGTCCGCCAACGCAAGCAGAGAACACAAGTACACATCCCCCAGGCAAAAGCAGGTGTTAAATATCGGCTGCGTCAGCTAGCTCACCTGCTGTGTTAAAGGTTCTAAGCAAGCTTAAACTGCACCCTCCAAGCATCCCTAAGGCGCTGGACTATGTCTGCGTGTCGCAGCACTACCAGTGCATTGACTTGCTTCAGCCAGGGCCTCGGAATGGCCGATCTCTGCACCCCCACTCCCACCCCCTTCCACGGCCAAAAGAGCAGTCTGAGATTCAACCTGGACTGAGGCTTCGAACAGATGTGAAGAGCGTCGTCCCGGTTGCCGTGACCAGCTGCGGATCGCTGGAGCCACCGAGGGTGCGGGCATGTAGCAAGTGTGCAACGTGCGACATTAAGTTTTGATAGTTCAAGCAGTCGGCAAGACATCAAAGACCTGAACAGCATCTCTATTCTGACCACCACCCACCAACATCACCAGGGTGATGAGGTGGGGAGGAGGAGGATAGGCCCACCTGAAAGAGATGGATCAGAGGTTCAAACCATTTTGCAGATTCGGAAGGCCATGACCACACGGCGGCCCACCACTACGACGGTACAGGGCTCAGTCTAGCGTCTGGCGAGCAGAGGACAGGGGCCTTTTCTTGCATTTGCCTTCATGGCATGCGACTTCGAGCAAGGGTTAGGACAGTTGGGAGATGCAGTGCGGCAGCGTAAGAGCAGAAACAAGACGAAGATGAGCACAAGGGAGAAATTCGAGCTGCTTCTGAGGCTTATGTGGCGCCAGACCTTGGCATCCTGAGTTCGAGTGGCGGCGATGCCCCATGCGCTTGAATAATTCGATCGGGTGGGCGGATCTTGGGACTCGTTATGTGCCTCAAATTAGGGTTTGGGGATGTAGGATTACTTCGAAGATTTGTGGTGGCTTTAGGATGCAGGATCCGTTCGAGGGCTTTTGGTGTGGGATATTCGACTGAACCCACCAGCCTGCTCTAGGACTACATGGTGTTTTTCGGATTTCAGGGCTGTGGCTCCGATTGGGTCGCGACGAGCTGCTTGGATTCAGAAAGTTGACATTGACTCACTGTGCTGCAAACACTCTTCGGGGTTTGCGCTGGAGGGGATTGTCCGTGAATCCTCACTTTGAAGTCATTTCGTACGCCTCACTGCCTCACTCAACATGTGAACGTTTGAGAGACCACCTTTGCAAAGCAGCCCTGCCGTTTATCGAGGCTCCTTGGTGGCCCGATGAGTGGAGTGGCTCGGCTTTGACTTGGGCCCTGAGACTGAGTCCGTCTTAGACGCAGGTTTCTGAGAGCCCCCTAAACCCTAAACCCCTAGGTGTGGCGGTCTGGCTGGCCATCATTCTCGTCTCGGGCTTCATCCTGGGCTTCTGCTGTTACCTGGGCCGCCGCTGCCGGCGAAGCCTGCAGACTCTCGGGGGGCAGCTGGGGTAGTGGGTTACGTTGGACTGGAGACCTGGAGTTTAGCTGCAGACTCCTTGCGAAGGTTCAGAGTCTCGAGATTTTGGGGGTCTATGCCGCAGTCTACCCGTGGCCCAGGAGAGTTCATGTGGCGCCACAAAGTGCGCTGGACTCCCGGATGTTCAAGTCCAAGGCATCTTCCAAGGGCTCCCTTTCCTTCCCTTTGGCTCTTAGGAGGCTCTTTCGATTTCGGCTTGTCAGCTTGCTTTTCACAAGTGCTAAGACATCTTCACTTCAACACTCTCAGGGCATCTGTCGGTCAAAGGTAGGTCATTTGGGGGTTCAGGCAGGGTCTGTGCACGGGGTCGCCTTTCCTATTCTATACCATGTTATACTATACCCGACTATACTATACCATGCTATACTATACCATATTGTATGGTAGTACAAAGGCAGTCGCTGTCGCTTGCGGTGTTTGCACTTGCAATGCTCTCCGCACTGACAGGGCGGCTCTGTCCAATGGGACTTCGCCAAGGCCTGGGACTGCGTGATACCGTACTCGCATACTCTCTCCTCATATAGAATACTATCACATGTTGTCATACAATTTCATACAGTAAAGTAGAGTATATAGTATAATCGAACATAATGTATTATGGTATAGTATAGTATGGTATAAAATAGTATAGTTTAATACAGTGTATTGCAATATTTCATGTAATAAAAACCCGTATTCTTTCTGTATACATACATACATATATATATATATACATATACATATATATATATATATGTATATATATATATATATATTCATATATACATACAGAAGAATTTTGTAGAATAGCAATGCGCCTGGGAGCTCTGAGTTCACAGAAACCTTGTGAGCCCTATGGAGTCCGATGCAGTGGCTGCAGCGTTTGCAGAGCACGTGGCACGGTGTGGACCGAGTTGCGGACATCCAGGCTGGCGTTGTGAATGTTAGCGACCTGGAGGCGTGATGGTGATGGGGTTTGGCTCAATCGGAGTTTGTTGCAGGCAGGTGGATGCTTCTGATCACATGACTGAGATTTTGATTGAGGTCTCTCTCTTCGGGGGTGTTGTGGCGTGGTGCCGGTTCCTGACGGCCCACGCATCCCCGAGCTCGTTCACTTGCTTACTCTGCCATATCTCCAGCGGTTTAGCTTGTATTCCGAGCATCTGTGCCTTTTGACATTGGAGGCGGCAAAGCGCGCCTTAGCTGCTGCGCTTCGAAGCGAGGCGCGTAAGCCCAGACTTAAGGCAATCTTCGCCTCTGTTGCCTGATCCGAGCTTGAGTTTCCCAACATGGCAGCGGTGGTACTGCATCTACTCGCGCAAGCACAAAGGTTCCGACTTGATTAGCAAAGAGGGTCTCTGCCGAAGGCTTCCTCAGAAGCGCTCCCAAGCCGCGGGCGATGTTTGCACCTCTTCTGGATAGCATTCTTGTGCTACTGCTACTTGTCATGACGATGATGACGGTGATGCTGTCGAACATGAGCGATTTGCATTGGCTTATCCTCAGTTTGTGATGCTCGTGCAGTTCTTATTGCCATCTAGAGCTCATCTACATGGGCTTGGCGCTCTATGCTGTCGTGGTGCTTTGTCCAAAGCCTGTGTGAACAGCTGAGGACATTTTGGGCCTCCAACTGCTTGCGTGTGGCCGTGCTTTCGGAGTGGCTTGCCTGGGTCTTTTGTGTATTTTGTGCAGCGCGGACTTAAGATTCATGGTTCTAGTCTACATGTAGTGGTATGCCCCTCTGGCCGACTATGGAGGTCTTTAGTTTCCCATTTCCCATGTCTTGTCGACGCTTGACCGATTCTGCTTGAGATCTGCGGGATCAGAACAAAGTAGGACTGGCATGACATAGCACAAGCACAGGTAGCAGGGCTTCTTGCTCCTCCCCGAGAATAGTCTGAACAACCTAAGTATCCACAGATACGGAGAACGACGAAGAGAATCTCAAGGAACGTTGTCTATGTCACGGTACGCGTTCTTCACAGTAGTTTAATGTCGGTCCTGAGCATCGCTAGCACAAGCGAACTCAGCAGAAGGCACATGCTTAAATGTCAAGGGATACTGCATCTGACGGTGAAGACTTCGCACAGCTTAAAGCACACAGTCGCATTTTGTGTTCCGAGTAGACTGTTGCTGTTTGCTAAACCCGCGTTGCATCGATTTGGCTGATGCTTGGGCATAGCTGCACGCCTGCACCGCCAGTTCTGAAAGTCGGCAGAATCGCCTTCGATCATCAGGTTGGACGTTCTTCTTGCGACATATCCGATTTTGACAATCAGCTTTGATGCCGCACCTCCACTGCATTTCGAGCTTCTTGGTGTTCCGGGAGCTTAGCTTAGCGCCGAAGCTCAGGATTGGCGTCGATCTGACAATGCCACCATCGAAGCCTTGGCCAAACTGCTGCTTCGCCACCGGGGCCGCTGCAAATTTCGAACAGGCAAACCCATGCGGCGTTGGAGTCGCGAGAGTCCAAATCCTTCTTGCCATCCCTTCTGTGCAAAGATCATTGGCTAAGCCGGTGTTAGCCATGAGGTGGCTCGCAACCCTTGGCGCTGCCCGCGGCTACATTGGCACCTGGGCTCTTAAGGTCTTAACCAGAACCAGAGGTTTGTGGCAGAATTCAAGATGCAGCTTTCCGAGGCGACGATCTCGTCCTGTGGGGAGGCCCTGGCTGCCTCACACACCGAGGTGGCCATGCAAAGAGCGGCATGATTCCTGCTAGTGTTTGTGGTTGTTCTTGTGGTTGTGCTGCACTTGCAGCTGCTGCTGCTGAGGCTGCTGCTGCTGCTGCTGTATGACACGTGCCTTCTCGCCTGCGCAGGTAGACTCCGTATCCTTCGAAAGAGGACAGCGAGCTGGGCGAAATCTGAACTATGTGGTCTGGTTCGCGACGTCCGCGACTGTCTGCTTGTAGTGCGTTGTGCGACCACTGCACCAGCACAATCCAGGACCGAAAGATGATGCGCCATGCAGCGCATCACTGGCGGGACTCAGGTTCTCTGCTTGGCATTGCTCGTTGCCTTCTTCTGCCCCCCCCCTCGATCTCGATCTCTTGGCCATCTTGTGTCTTCGGTTCAGTCTCAAGTCGTTGCAAGTGGTGTGAATGTGCGAATTAGATTCAGCTTGTCTATGGAACCATACCCAAACTTCCAGCATGCATGTGCGGCCACGTTTCCCGAAGTTCATTTTTCGACCTCCCTGCCAGGCTGAGCTCGCAAGAGGCCACTTTGGGCTTGGGGCGGCTTGGGTTCAGGGTGGCCTAGTAATTAGAATAGGGCTTTGGGGTATATTATACTCTAATTATAATAAGGAGCCCCCAAACAGTATAGGTGCTTCGTCAAGGGAGTGTCCCGGGTCCCACAAGACTCTCAAGCTGGTGTCTGCAGCGTGCTTTTCTGTTGGCGTGCGCTGGGAGGAGGGACTTGGAGGATCGGATGTTGTTTTTCCTGCCAAACGGGCTTTCCCTCAGTTCCCGCGTGGTCCCCCTGACTCCACAAGTGAAAGGGGACCACTGGAGCTTCAGCACCTACATCTCAGATCTTGGATTCCTACACTAGTGTATTGGTGATGAGAGTATGGGAAGAACTCCCCTTCCCTGGATGCCGGCAGGTGATTTTCCATCGGCACCCGTTGGGAGATCAAGGTTGCAGTTTGGATGCTTGGCCGAATTTCCGCAGACACGTTTGTGCGCAGTGTGGGCACGATATCCTGTAGTCCGCGGAGTGGGCAATCCGAGCCTGCCTGGAGCGACCCATGGGCCTTTGTGCGAGGTGTGTGGCTTCGTGAAATCATGGGGTGCCAGGCTGCAGATTTGCAGGCAAGGGCCAGGGCGGCTGCAGTGTGCGTGCAGATAGCCTTGCACAACTATGCAGCGGTTCGTTGTCGTGGCTTTCGCGTCCCAGGCATGCGTTGTAAACGAGGTCTGCAACACGATATCCGAGCACGGTCGTTGTTTTGGAAGCATAGTGTTGCCACCGAGATTTCTCCTACATCGACGGATCGAGCAAGTGTCCCGGCCGTGGACATACCAGTGAATGCTCTTGTGAAAGGCTTGTTGAGTGTGGCTTCGGCGATCTCGCAGCCGCCGGCGTGGCGCGCTTGTTGGCCGCTTGCTTTGCAGACCATGGACCTAACACAAGATGCCGCAGAGATAGGGCTGTCACTCGCTAGTGGGCTTCAACACAATCTTGGGCTCCTTGGGCCGTTGCAGTATCAAGGGAGGAGTGGAAAGCTTTTGGCCGTTGTAGTTCCACGTGTCTGCGACAAGTCTACGAGTCTTCGAAGCCTTTCCTCGCGTTTCTGGGAGCACGCAGGCGGACGCTCGACAGCCTGCATCAGCTCTCAGGGAACTCAATCTGCGCCCGAGCTAAACCTTTAGTCTCAGAGCTGTGCTGTCACGATTTTCGTCATCTCCCCGATGAGACTGAGGAGTGCCAACAAGTTCGGAAACGGGGGCGCGGCGGCCACTCGGCGAATTTCGTGGACAAGCGGCCCTTTCGGGCGGGATTTTCGAAACACAGTCGGCGATCTAAATCTAAGGAGCTCGCCGATGCACTGCCCCGGCTCGACTCCCTGGAGAAGCTGCCGGGGCCCTGGAGGCTCAACGCTTTTCCCAAAGCAGGCCGTTCCTGACAGCCAGTGAGCAACTTCATCAGCTGCGAACGCAGTGAGTAGTGAGCAAGACAGCGCGGCACTCCGCAAGGTACGGGAGAGTTGAGCGCAAGACAGGTCGTTACAGACACTGTTTAGTGCTCTCAGACCGTCCGCCATGTGAAGTTTAGGGCTCCGGGATGTTCGGAGTTGCAGGGAACCTCTCCGGGTAGATGCTCCAGACGCAAGGGAGCCTGGAGTCCGTTGGAGTTGGAGCTGAGGTTGCTGGAAAGGAACAAAATTGGGGTCTTGGGGGCCAAGGCGGGGGCTGAGTCGGTCTGACGCACCCGGAATGTTTGGAAGTCAGATGCGCCTGTACGCGGATGAGCACGGCTCGACGTGAGATCGCTTGAGGGATGGGGGTGTTCGTGGCTTTGCTGTTAACCGATGCAGAGGCTTTGGCAGCGCGTCTTCCGCGCAGCAACGTGCGGGAGCTCGTCATGGGCACCCACCTGGGTGGGAATCCCCTGGGAGAGGAGGGCGTGCAGGCCGGTCTCTGAACATTCCTCCCGAACTCCAGAATGCAAGTACAGCAGATGGAATAGTATACGCTGAAAGCTCGACTGCTTGCGTGGGACATCACAGCTGGGCTTCCAGAAATCTGCGGACTCCGTGAGCAGGCTTTGGCAACTGCGCTGGATGACGCCATGCCACGGGCAGCAGCCAACCGGGCGATGCGGCTCCAGGCACGACTTCGCATCTGCTCTTCAGCTTTCCTTGCCCTGTCAGGTGCAAGCCTAGTCTGAGTCGCAGTTGAAAGTTGGCTGAGAGGCCCTTGCATTGGAGGATTGCGGAGTCGGCCAAGCAGGTGCCAAGGCCCTGGCACGGGGAAGTCTTGGGCAAACTCCTCGGCCGTTCTTGCGATCTGCCCAGCAAAAAAAAATCGGTCGCAGGCACTTGCCGAGTACATCCCGAAGAGTGTCCTCCAGGTGCAGATCGACCTGCAAACCTTTGACTTTTGAATCCTAAACCAGAAGTTGTCATGAAGTCACTGCACGCGTGCAAATAAGCCTCGGCAAGCCTTTTAGCCTCCGTGGGGACTCGTGGATGCTGGGGGACAGGCTTTGTCAGTGGCGCGCGGCCACCTAGCAGACGACGATGCTACAGCCGTGCTGCCACTCGATCTGCAAAGGAGGGGCGAGGTTTATGCACGTGCCGTGCACAGCCGCTGCCGATGAACTGAGCTTCTGCTTCTGCTGATTTGAGAAGGGGCCCGGGAGCACCGGTTCAACCTCCCAAACTCAGAACAATGACAGAAGTTGCGATGTCTCAGCAGTTTCGCTGCACTCTTGAGGTTGGCCTTGCCTGGCAGCATCTCCTTCCTGGACCTCTCGGGTTCCTTGGTCGAAGCTCCTGGTGTGCTGCAAACCGTGGATCCGCTTTGCGTGTCTGCAGATCAGGAAATGAGCTCAGTGACCTCACGGCCTCCATCGCTGGAGAGGCCTGCGCCTTGCTGTCCTAGGCTTGGGGTGAGATGTGTCGCAGCTGGCCCGTGACTTCTCTCACACGACGCAGCATTCTTACACGTCTCAGGCATCACAGCAGGCTGCTCCCGGTTGATCGTCACTAGCTCGCAAGTGCGGACTGACAAGACAGTCCCCCCAAACTCTATAGATGCCCCTCTCGGCCGGCAGATGTCTGCCGGCAGGTGTCCTTTTGTGCTGGTGCTCTCTGGTTTTCGCAGTCTTGAACCAGTTTGCGGAGGACGTCGACTCCCAAGCTTTGCTGTCGATCCATCCACCGAGTCCAGATGGCCTTGACGGCCTTGACGACCACAACGCTCGGCTGCTGCGCTGCGCCAAGGCTGCGCCCGGCGATGCGCTCTGCTTTGACACGCAGCCGCCACCAGAGTTCTCGGTAAGGTTCCAGCTGCATGATGGGCGGAGCTTCCGGGTGAAAAGCTACAGCCACTGGGCGCCCGTCTTTGTTCAGCGATTCTGGCAGCTCTCCAAGCTAAACTGGTGGCGGGACGTTGCCATCTACCGGAATGTCTATGTGAACGAGACTCTGCGGTTTGTGAGCCAGTTTGGTTTGGTAGGCACTCCCTCGGTGAACAATGCTTGGGTGAAATGGAAGACAAGCAATCAGACCTCGCCGGCGCTGAAGTCGAACACTCGGGGCCGCGTCAGCTTCTCGATGGATGCTGTCATCTGCAAAGAGGGAGAACCGGAGGACCCTTGCAAGGCCCTCCGTCCAAACTGCACGGCCGAAGACTACTGTGCCCTGGGCTTTTTCACGGAGATCTATGTGAACTTTGCAGACAACTCGAGGTTAGATCCACACGGCTTCGCACCCATTGGGGAGGCTGGGAGCCCGTCAAAGCTTAGACAAGCCAAAAATCTCCCAACCACCCTCAGGTTGACGAGGGCATGGACGTTCTGGATGATCTGGCGCAAGCTCTGGGCAATCGCTACGGTGAGGTCCGATGGGGTCGTGCCAGCCGTGCCAGCACCAGCATGAAGGGTTTCCCAGGTCACAGGCCCCAAAAGAAGGAAGTAGCAGGCAACTCAACGCGACGGCCTTGCCTCCTGCGAGAACGGAAGGTTCAAGACCTGTGTCCGCCTACGCCACCGAAGCCTCTTGTCGTTGTTTGGTGAGCTTAGGTCTCTTTCAGGTGCGCATACCTCAGTTACATAGGAGGCAAGCCTTCTTTGGAAGCATACCGAAAGATGATGGCTGCAAGCAGTGCAGCGCTTGACTGCGGGTACACCACCTGGTGCACCTGTGATATATGGTTTATGCGCATACAAACATGCATGCAACGAGTCCGACACAGTGCTCATGTTTCGACTGTCAGCCCCTGTCGCAATCAGCAGCAGAAAGCTCTGACAGAACGAAAAGCTTGCTCGAGCCGTGTTCGCGAGGGTGGTGGCATTTTCACAAGAAGGGCAAGCAAGCAGAACGGCAAAATCCAACTCGTTTTAATTATTGTTGCGGGATCTCAACCGATGCAAAAGAAGTTGAGTTCTGGCATGTCGAATCCTCGGTTCTTGAGTTCAACAAGATGCGGCTGGTCCATCACATCCAAAGGCAATTTAATCTTCATGCGCCAACCACGACTTCAGTGAATTAAGAAGCTTGCACATTTCGTTGCGGGAAAGGGCGACAACAGATGGACAGTTGGGCGTCGGGCCGCTAAGTGTTGCTATCATTGAACAGACTTGATTTTCACCGGAATCCGGATGGAAAAGCCTGGAGTTTGCACAGCTAGGCTTCCATTGCAAGGCCGCTGAAACATGACGACAGATTCGCTGAGAAAAGCTCACTCACTTCCTGACGACAGACTCAACCACTCTGGACCACTCTGACTCATTTCCCCTACCTGCTTGCCCTCCTGCACCCGTCCTGTGCACTCACTATGCAGTCATTCCCACAGACAAGCCGCCAGTCAGCCAGCAGCTGGCAACCCTCTAGCTCACACCCTCACTCGCCTGAGTGCCGTGCTCGCTTGCTTGCTCACTTGTCGGGTTGTTGATTTGCTGACATTTTGTCTCTGATTTTGCATGCTGGTCTGGCCGATCACTACGTTCGTTTGGGATACTTGTGTCTACTTGCTCACGCATCCATCCGAGCATCGGCTTGCTCGCATTCCGATTTTGCCCGCATAGGTAGGCTTGCGGCAGGAAGCTGCGCCTTCGGGCCCCTTTAGCAAGTTCTGCCAATGCCCCGCCAGCCGAAGGCAAGTTCCCTTACGTCGTCGGCTTGGGTATTGCACGCATGCGGTGCAGCGCCGGGATCGTTCTCAGATTCGCAGACAGCAAGACAGTAGTGCACTGTTGAGATGCGCTGAAGGACCCTCGCACCCCGTTTCCACCCTTTGCCAGAACCAGAGTCACATCGATCTCAAGAACATGCAATCATATAGTAGACCAGTCAGCAGGGGCAAAGTCTATCACAGCCAAGGACGTACTGCGTCTACCGCAACGGGAAATGTGCGGGTGTGAATGAGACGAAATTTCATCAAGAGGGCAATGTCTATATCAAGGACGACTTCCCACAGATGTACCGATTACGGATCAAGGATGCCCAGGTGGAAAATTTCACCACAGTTGCTGCGTAATTGCTCATCTCACCTTTCTGGTTGTGGCCCAAAGCGCGGACAGCCCGAACAAAGTCCCGGCTGCGCAGAAATGCCGAAAAATACAGTCGGATGGTGAGAGCGTGAGGTAGCCTTCCCAATGCAGCTTGCATTTTTGAGCTCTTGCGCCATCCATCGTGCCAGGCCTTGTACAAGAGGCCCAAGCTTTCGATCTCGCTGGCCGCCAACTACATAAGCCCGACCATCAAGCTGCTGCTTGCAGAGGTCTTGGGTTTTGGCTTTTTCCGGTGCTTTTGGGGGAAGGCGCAGTCAGTGAGGGCGGCTAACCCATAGGGCCGAGATATTTGCTATGTCATGTGTGCTTCTATGATGGCTTGGCCAAAGCGAACAATTCAGAAATTCAGCCAGAATACCACACTTCCCAGGAGCATGGGACGCGCTTGAGGGTGTGAGGCAGCATGAATTGGCATGTTCTGGCGTTTGCATTCAGGACCGTAAGGTTTGATGCTTTCAAGGTTGTTCGACCAATACTGGAGACCCACAGAAAACTTCGATTTGGCACTTTACCATTGCGGCTATCTTCTTTCATAGTGCACGGGCTCGCTGCTGCGAAGCAGCAGGGGGCGTAGCATAGGAATTTTTGGTACAGGCACGCGCCTTATCCGAAGGCGAAGTACGAAGATGGAAAGCATCCTGTGTACCATCGGATTAGGTGCTGCGGTGTGCTGCCGTAGTTTCACCCCCCTCTCTCTCAAAGTGCCCCCACAAGTCATCAACTCGGCAGCGAAATGCGCCTGAGGGGCCATCAGTCGATGGGGTCTCGTGTCAGCTGCACCTCACCCAGCTAGGTATGTGCAGCCCAACTGTTCCGTTTTCTGTAGACGTAGGTGCAGTCGGAGTAGGCAGGAAGTGGCAGGAGGCCCAGAGCAGCTGTTTTGACATCCTGCGCGCCAGGCTCCACGAAAAGCTTCAGGGGACCGAGACCACTGGAGAGTTCTCGCGGTAGGCATCACCTGTCCCCGGATTGTAGTTACATTCGGGCAAGGTGCGAAGCGTAAGCGCATGTACCTCACGCGACTTTCGGCTTGTGGCTGCATTTTGGCTCGAGGGGCAACAAGGCCTCACAAGTTCTATCACGCTCCATTTCCAATCGTACTTTCCTTCACGTAGCGCGGGCCCTGACATGTCCCCTCGATCGTTTTTCAGAGAGACCCATTTGAGCCCCATGCCCAGGCAATGCCTCGCGCGCTGTGCTTTTTGGTGGTGGCCTCCTCAGCGGAATCCTTGGACTAAGCGCTTTAGCCATGTTGGCTCAAGCCAGCGGCATGCCAAGCAACATACTAATGATTTCTGTTTCACCTTCGGGCTGCCTTGGCTTCGAAGCGACGTGCCCCAGGAGCTCGTAACTTTGGGTTAGTTGTCATTCTGGCCTGGATTGGTGTCACGATGGGCAGCGCTGGAACTTTCATCATTCCGCGCCGTGCCCCAGAGCTTGAACTCTAACCCGCTTCCGGGATTGCTTCGTTCCTCATTCTCTTGAAGGCATGAGCAACATCGAGGAAAGAATTGAGGACAGAGCCGACAATGCAATCGCAGAGCGTAAGAAGCAGTGGGCAGCCTTCCGAGCGAACAGCTGACGACGTTGCGAGACTTCAATTGACATGTACAAGTCGGAGGCGCCAAATCGTCATGATGCATGTCGATGAACGTTTCCAGCCCCACCAAGTGCAGCTCCAGCTTGCGGCTTCTCGTCTCAGGGGCGGTGGGCTGCAGGGCTCTAGAAACCCGCGCCATGCCAGCGCTCAGTTGAGTATGCCAGGAACCTGGTGTTGTTTCAATCGCCGAAGTCCTGGCAACGGGGCTGTGTGATAGCTTCAAGCTCGGCCGAGCTGTACACTTTGTGCGCATCTGCATGGGATATGCTACATCTTCAGGACTTCAAGTTCGGATAAAGATGGTTGACTTAGCTTCGTACACCGATTCTGCTCTTCCCACACAGCCTGCCGGCTTCCTGCGTCGAGATCTGATTCAGTGTTACTCCGATCCAGCCGGGGTCCAGTTAGCAGTGCAGGATTCGTGTTGCTGTCGGGTTCCCAGTCTAAAAGGCTTACCTGACCTCCGGTTCAAGCTCCCGTGGTGGATAGGGTGGATGATTGGATCACGGGTGCCCGGCATCCCTTGACGACTGCCTCGGTCAGCAGGGCATTCCGACGGAAAAAGGCCACAACAAGGAACAACAATCTTTCGACTCCGGCCGAAGGCTGCCAAGGCCGAGATGTGCCGGACAATTCCGAGCATCAACTATCATATTATGGTTATTATTATTATTATTGTTATTATTATTATTATTATGATTATTATTATTATTTCTTTGCCGAGGCGGCCCTTGGGCCCAGAGTGTTTGCCTACGACTCCTCCATGTTGATCTCCAGCAGCGGGGCTTTTTCAGGCGGGCAGGGCAGGGTTTAAGCCGTCTGGCTTTTGGCATTCTTTGCTTGGATTAGTTAGGCATGTTCTGTTCCATGTTCTACCTGGACCCCCAAATAACCCGCCTTTTAGGCTTCCTTCTTAGAGTTTGTTTCTTTCAGTCCTTAAACAGGAAAGTTTCTTGGGGTTAAGGTCTGTTGTATGTTATTCCAGCAGTGACCGCAGTTTCAGTCAAAGAGCACCTGGCATGACCTCGCCACGGGACTGCTGGAATACGAGACACGGGTCACCCCACAATATTCACGGCTCCCTGTGACGGGAGCGCGAGTTCGGGAAGAAGCAGAATCATAACAATGGTGGTGATGCTACAAATATAGACACGGATTGTTTGTCACAACAACAACGACAAAACAACAACAACAACAACAACGACAGAACAGTATTCGTTGGATTTTGGTTTTCACAGTCCTACTTCTTGTGGCTATCCTTATTACCCTTATTAGTATTTGTATTTGGTCATGAATGTTTTCATTCTTATTGTTGTTGCTATTGCAACTTTTGTCATCGTTTGTCAAAACTGCTAGTGCTGCCGTTCCTTTTGTTGTTATTATACGTATTTTTCGTTATTCGTCTTCTTGTTCGTTCTCATATTTGCGTTATTCCCATGATTGTTCATTCACTGTGATTCCCATCATTATAGCATGATTCTATGACTGAACCCTTCGGAATGGCACCTAAAGCGAGTATCCTAAACCCTAAACCCTATTCCGTCGGGTAAGTCCATGTGGCAATCTCGGACCCTGTATGCCGTGCCAGCCTTGTGCGAGTGCGTGAGTCGAAACCCTAAACTCCCCCTAGCTTCCTCCTGTTGCAACGTGCTGCCTCCCCGCTGCCACCTGTGAACACACGATAGCTTCGAAGCTCATAACCCTTTTAAGGCTTCAGTTTCTTGGTTTGTCCGAGATGTGAGAGCGTAAACCCCCCCCCCCTCCCCTTCCCTCCCCCGGGTATTTCACGTTGCAGCTCTGGGCCAGGCTCAGACTCTGCGAGCTTCCTGCAGAAGCCCGTGGTCAACGAAAAGGAGGGGGGCACTGTCAGCACTAAACATATTATAGGGGAAAACAATATTTTTTCTCTATAATCTGTTTGGCACTGTTCTTCTGGTGTGTGGGAACTCTCGGGCCAGGTTTTTTTTGGGGGGGGTTTTGGGTCACAGGGTGTAGGATTCAGAGTTTAGGGTTGAGGGAGTTGAATACAGTTGGTGGCTCTTGAGGGCGAGCTGCTTTCTTGAGAGTAGTTTGGGAACCTTCGATGCCAGTCGTCGATGACCTTGAGAATCAGGATGCCTCGGAAGAGTTCGGCGAGACTGCCGAACCTGTGCACGTAATTGGCCGGGTGCCTCAGCCAGGTCTGCAACGCAGACAAGTCTTACATCTCGGGTCTTTCTTTTTTCCCGACCGCAACTCCAATCCGGTACCGGCACCTTTGTGATGTCCCCGCTCTTTGGTGGAAGTTTGTCTGCCCGGCAACCAAGTTAAGGCCTGCGCCGTGAAAGCGCTGGGAAGCCCAGAACAGCACTGGCCAGCCAGCTCTGGATAAGGAATTAGCCAAAAGTTGACTTAAAGGTAAGTTAGGGGTTTGAGATTTCCATCTGATCCTTGAATATTGTTTGCGGCTTTGCAGCTCATGGTTGACAAGTTGATGTTGATTTCACCCGATCTGTCCCACAGTGCACGGGCCGCGCCTCAGGTTCCCATTTACCGAATGGGAAAGATAGCCTCGTTCAAGACATCCTACTCTGGAGCACGGAGCTTAGCCGAATGGTTGGCAAGGTCAAACGCACGCCCTTCCGATAGCTAGCTAGCCAAGCCATAGATAGCCATGCCCATCAGCCTTGAAGCTTGTGCCCCATCGAGGTTGTCAGCATTGGCTACCCTCCACAGGCTCGTGCAGTTTGATGTTCATGACAAAGCTTGTTATACCTGGCATGAGGCAGGAAGCTCATTTACGCTAGGCTCGGTAAACGCTCAAAATTCAAGAGAGCCTGAGGAGAACAGGCTTATAGGCTTCTTCACCTGTTTCGGGATGTCAGTGCACATTCGCGGGGCCAGGTCTCGATTCACGCAGTGCAGTGTGCCGTTTGATTTAGTGCCTGAGGACTTCCGTGTGGTTTTCGACACCGGCTCCGCCCACATCATCTTACCGGCCGTGGAGTGTCATACGGAGGACTGCAAGAGGGATATCGGGTATCCTCGGGCGCCACGGCCCCTCCGAACTGCGCGCAGCTTCCCCTTCTGGGCCCTGGGCAGGCCTGCCTGGCCAACAATCGGAGGCTCTACAATCAGCTCGGCCCTGAGAGTTGCCATAGCGCTTTGGACAGGGGCACCCGGGTTAATGCCAGTGAGCCTTGTTTTGGTTCACATTCCGGCTGAAAGCCGGGACAGTATGTAAGAATGCCAGAGGGTCCGCTGCACATACGTAGGTATTTTAGCCTGAGTGGGACATGAATCCGAAGCGTAGGTTGGGGAGATCCACAACGTGAGCGAGCCTGAACAAGTCTCCGGAGTTATGTTGCCTCAAAGGCCGTTGAATCTGTTCAGCTTGTTGGACGAAAGTTTGGCTGTTCCGCCGTGTTTGTATGAAGCCCGGTGCAGGAAACAATGTGGGAGGACTCAGCCAAATCCGAGTTCACTTCCTCTCCTATCTCTTGTCAGACAAAGTAATTCACGGCCGCAGCTCCAAGCCGAACGCAAGGGCTGCATCGACGACGTCCCTGCCAATCAACGCAGACGGTAGCATCGTGCACGAAGGGGACGATGGAGAGCAGGCGCGTTTCGCAGTTCTTCGGCTGCTGCTGCGAAGCACTGTTGCCGTGTAAATTAGCTCAAAAAATGAGCGTGTCAGGGAACATGCTCGAGTTCACGTGTTTCTGCTAGCGGACCATTGGTGAGCAGGATATGCTCTCGAGTTTGCCAACTTCAGAATGGTATTACCAACTGCAACACTTGGATTTCGATGTTTTTGGATATGCGGCCGAAGTTGCCGATCAAGAAATGCAAGAGATTGTGCATCAAGCAGCCGGTTCAGTGCAACATGCTCACCCTCTCACCCTCACAACCTGACTCCCTCACACCCTCACTCCCTCGCTCTCACTCTCACCCGAGTGTCAGGGACTCGCTCAGACTGAGTCTGCAGGGCTCCATAGTTCCACAATCGAGGCATGAAGGGAACTGGGCTGCTGACATGTCCAAGAGCAAGGGAAGTTTGAGCATTTTCATTGTGGGCTGAGTTTTGTCCTTGTGCTGCCAGGTCACCATTGGCTTCGGCACTGGTGAGATCACCGGCGAGTTTGCCAAGGACACAGCAACTTCGCCGGAAATGTAGAATTGGGTCAAGCAGGTTACGTCTTGTCTACATGTCAAGATGACATCTAAGCGTGGTCCGGGAACTATCTCACGAGAGAACTCGAAGTGTCGAGCTTGCCTGCAGAACACATTGCCCGACCTGGAGGATGTGGTGATGTTGTGGTGATTGATGTAGTCCGTACGTGCAAGCTTCTTGCGCCCATATACGTGCATATAATATAGTATAGTATAGTACAGTATATTACTCTATTATACTATAATTGACTATAATGTACCATACTTGCCCGAGGTTTGTATGGGTAAAGGCCAGACGGCCGACGAGCGACGCCTTCTCATGGCGGAGGCCCGAAGGCAGAAGGCGCCGAAGGGGGGGCGGTTTCTGAGCACTGGGGGCTTTCTTTAATCACTGAAAAAGAGCCAGCAGCAGTGGAGAGGCTATGTGAGGGCGTTAGCAGGCTTGGCATGTAGCTATGGTGTGCAGAGAATTCATATGCGAGTTTGCACATCTTCTGCCCACTTCGGCTTTAGGGAAGTAGGGAGGCTTCTGCCAAGAGCCATGGCACGAGTCTGGCTGAGCACCCTGGGCACCTGGCGCCAATCTCGCAATAGATGGCTCTCAAGGGTTTTTGGTCTTCAAACACTTTCCCTTAAAGAGCAATCATGTTCAGGGATCCGAATATTCAGTCCCCAAGTCTTGGGGGGTTTATGAAAATGAAGTCATTGATTGCTGGTGCTGCTTCCCCAACGCTCTGGGGCAGCTTCAGTGCGGAGGTGAGCTTGACGTGTTTAGCGTCAGCTGGCGGTTGCAACCGATCGAGCGGGGTTCGTGAAGACGGTCCTTAGAAGAGAGAACGCAGGATCGTTTTTTCCCGACCAGTCTTTGACCAAAAGTCCCAACACGGGCCGAAGGAGCAAGCAACCAAGGTGGCCGAGTTAAGCTCACGCAAGATGAGGGGCCAAGAAAGGATTTACTGCTTCCACACAAGCTGACCAGGTTCGGTTTTGGATGTGCAGCTGCTGCTGAGGGAGGGAACAGAGGGAACACGCAAAGAATGAGGCGGCAAAGAATGACAGAAAATCCAGATGGTAGCTCAGCAACTGCGTCGCTCTCGGGTGCAGCTGTGTCTATTGTCAAGTGTCAGGGCGGTTTGGACAAGCTGTCTTCGTGCATTCGCGTAGTGACGGACGGTTTCGTGCTCGGCACACCAAGGAAAAGAATAGGATATCGTAGCAAGATTGGCTGGAGAGTACAGCGCACGGACGATTCAGCATGCTCTCCCGTCCGAGTCTGCGGCAAGGGCTTCTCCACTCCTGGCTTTGAAGTCCCATGTCCAGTCGGTCGATTCAGCTGAGCAGCAGATGAATGGCTGTTGAAAATCATCCGCAGAAAAAGAAGGGGCTTCATGCGTCAAAACGCAGCTTGCAGCACCGTAGGTCGCCCACTGAAGACCGTTTGTGGTTGGGAGTTGGGATCCTCTCTCGCTGTGCAAGGTGCACTGTTACCGCAGGCGTATGGATCATCGCCTGGTTCTGGACGGCACCCACTGCTTGCAAGTCTGCAGCACAATGCGCTCCGCACCTGCAACCTGGAAATGATGGGTCGATCTACAGCACCTGTTTCTAGAACTGTGTGGGGTTTGGGCGGGGAAAGGCTTCTCATGCGTGAGCTTCGCTTCTGTAGACGTCAGGCAGAGACACCCGCGCTTCTATCACATCGTTTCCACTGCTGTCCTTTTGGCCCTCCTTGGCCACGAGCTCTTGAGCCTGGTAGCGACCTACATTGGCACACGGCAGGCCAAAGCGTTGATACCCCACCTCCAGAGCAACTTGCCTTAAAGGGGCATTCGTGTCAGACCAGGTGAGGCACATGTGGAAGTCATGCAGCCACCTTGGTAGCATCTTCCTTCGGACCTTTGCAACTTGCATCTGAGGTAAGAGCTTGCCAACATTCTTGCTAGCCCTCATGCTCGGGAATCTTGCAATTTCCGAAAGCATGTTCTCTCAGCGCAGCTGGACCATTTCTCATGTGATGCCCGTCAGCGACGGCCTAACGGCTCCAGGCCGTCCTGTCTACACGCTGCAATTCCTCGATCCTCGAAGCCTAAACGAATTCTTTTATTGTCCCTGGGTGGTAGGTCTTTCTCCGTGTCAATGTCCAGCTGTGTGATGGTTGTAAAGGTTTTCGAAAAGGAGAGCGGCACGATGTGGAGAGAGTGTGTGTCTTGACCCAGGAATGGACAGCAAATATGCCGATCCTCTTCATGCTTGCTGGGTACTGTGGCCTTGGCCGTCCCCTCCCTGAGATTTCACGGCCACTGCTGCTGACCAACACCTACATCATTCTCTGCTGGGCAGCTACCTTGACCAGTAGCGCTTCGCTGAAGTGGGTCTTGATCTTGGTATCTTTGGCGATGTATGCCCTCTCCTCCAGTTTGATGTTTAACTGGTGCCTGGACTTCGAGAAAGTGGCCCCGAAGGATTTGCCCGGCAGAAGCCTACGACCTCTGCTGTCCTGCGGCCTGATACTCCACTTCTTCTTGTATGGCCTGGTTTACTTGGCTTCGGCACCAGGTTTGCATTTCATGTCGGAACTGCTCCGACAGCTATGGCGAGCGGATATAGTTTACCTTGTGACAGGAAGCGTGTCGGACTAGTCCAGACTTCGAATTTCATTTCACCACTCAGATGAGCAACATACGGCTTTGGTTTTCAGGGTCCATGAGCGAAGCTTCGGTTCCACTTGGGCTGATGCAGAAATGCAGGGCCCCGAAATCCTACTTTGCTGCCCTCGCTCTTCTTTCAGGTAAGCGGCCTCGTTGATGCGGCGGTGGAGCGGACTCGCAGCACGGTTTCAGCAATCGCCTGGCTACTGCTCACGTTTTGCTCGGGAAAAATTAGCATCACATGCAGTTCGAGAAAAATCAGATACAGGGGCTTGTAGGGGGTTACAGGGACTTGATTTTTGCGGTTTTTTTTAGGAGGGGTTTATAGGGTTTCGCTAGAAGGAAGACCTTCTTCGCTTTGACGTTTGGTGCGAAGATCGCCCTCTGCGCCGCCTTCGTGCTCATCCGAGCGGATGAGTATCACCAAACGCTGACTGGTGTGCTTCGCAAGATCAGTGCAGCTGGGCTCCGTCAGACTTTTGAAGGTTGAGGCTGAAGCTTGACTTCGTGTGCACGCCAGCAGTAGAACACAGAGACATACCTGTATGGTGTATAGGTGCATAGCTCAATTGATCAATCTCCACGTTTGCTTGAAGCTGCAACATCCAGGTCTCCAACGCAGGCAGCTTGGCAGATCAAGCGACTCTGAGGACCCCACCGGGGTGCCTAGAAGCTTGTGCCGAACATCCTCCCACAGGCATGTATTCGGAAGCGCTTCTGTGCGAGTTTATATTGAAAGTGCTGTCATTGCTTCCTTGATGCCAAGGAGATTAGGGTTATCGTTCGAAGTCCAAGGCATGATCTCCATCCTGCGGAGTAGCTTCGATGTGCTCCTCCCCTGCATGCTCGACTCGCGGGGTGCCTGACTCCGGGCCGCACGCAGAGGGTGTGCTGCAGACCCAAGAGACTTCAAGCCCGGCAAGTCCTGAATCCCACGGTTATCAGTTATCATTGACATTGACATCGTGTTATCGATCATTATACCATGAGTATTGTCAGTGTCAATGCTTTTCTTCTTAGTACAAATGCCTGGGCTTGGCCTGGCAATCTGTGTCCTGAAGCCGTCTTCGTTCCTCGCAACAGGGCAGGGAGGGCCCACCTCTATGCTTGCAGGCATTACTGCATAAGACCTCGACGCGACAGCGAAGCAACTCCCAACCTTAGCTCCCTCCCAGGCCGCTTCCTGCCGGATTCCCCTGGGGATATTGGCAAGCTCGAGAAGCTCTTGGTGACTCGGCGTTTGTCAGTGTAGAGTGCCAATGCGAAAGTCGAGGTTCTTGAGGTGAGGCAGCTATTCGACAGGGCGAATCTGTAAACACATGACAGCTTTCGCTGATTGGCAACTTTTAGCGTGCATTCTGTTCATGTGATACTTGCTGCTTTACACTCGCCCAGGACCTCCCGGTGGGCGGCTTGTCTTTGCAGGATCTCCTGCAGGGCGAACAGCAGCAGGCAGGTTTTCGTTTGGCTCTTCGATCCTTCGGCAGTCTGCGGCCTGTTTTTTGAAAGAGATGGGTCATCGTGTCATCATCCACTCAGCAGAGAATTGGAACTGCTTTTGCGTCCTCTATGCTACTTGGAGATCTGCAAGTCTCTTTGCAGGCTGACTTCGCTGCGTACTTGCAGAACGTCGTACGCCAAGCTGATGCTGCGACGTCCTGCGCGGAAGGCACGCTGGGCAACTCTTGTGTTTCGGACCCAGATCTTGTCTTTGGTGCAGCATTGGCTCGCATCTGCAAGGAATGAGTCCACACACTCGCTGAGCGAAAGCTGCATGCTGGCAGGTTGGACGGCACCAGCCGCACAGGTGCCAAGAATGATTGGTTGTGTCATGAGCATTCGATCACACAACGTGTGGCAAGCTTGTTGGAATCGGGCAATACGTGATTGGCAGACCGGCCATACGATCTCGGCACAGAGACCCCCGGAAATTCTGGTGACCATGTCTGTTAATTTCTAGTGCGGACTTTGCTCCGTACAAGGTGTTGCGTTCCACCTTACGCCGCGGAAAAGGAGTCGTTGAGGCTTCTCTGCACTTGCTGCCTGGCAGGTTGATAACGAGTGAAAGCAACTGAAGACAGAGAGAGGTAACAAACAGGGAGTAGTAACCAGCGCATTCTTCTGTTGCAGCAACGCGGTCTTCCCGCTTTGCTACCCCTTTGAAATGCGAGGTGCGAGTGACCATTTAGTCTCCGGGTTTGCCTGGTTGCTTCCATCAGACCTCCTGCAGCTACGACGGTGGCTACCTCAAAACAAGAACAAGGTCTACACAAGAATCTGGCTTTTCGAGAGTTAAGGTGCCGTTCAATTTGTTCAGAAAGCATTCGGCTATCAGGGCCCTTGCTTACCAGCCCCCACTTTCGTAGCATCGTAGGTGCACCCCATGTCTTACGAACACGCTGTTCGAATCACATCGCTTCCAAAGAGCAATCTACGCTACATGATCTTCGGGTGCATTGTTAACACCTTTGGCGGCCGAGCCCATGCAGAACCGTAGGTTTCTGGAGGCCCTTCCAAAAAGAAAGAACGGAATCATCGCATGCGAATCCGTACACCTGATTGCTCTTTTGCAACGACTGCGGATGCTCAGGTCAGTGGTCCCTCGCTCGGCCGCTACACTCGGGAGCGCGTCATGCCAGCAGTCAGTTTGAGGTCGGGAAGCAGAGTGACTCCAGATGTTTGCCGCAGGACAGGC